ACTCTGCCCAAGACCTTCCTGTGCATCGATTTCCATCAACGAAGACTTGTTTGGATACTACTNTACGTCCCGAAAACGCTCCGACAAACTGTTTATGAAACCGTCAACTCTTGGTGGAGGTACATCTATTTGTACTTTCATGTTTTTGCACTTCTGCTAAACTCTGCCCAAGACCTTCCTGTGCCTCGATTTCCCTGAATGTAGGCTTGTTTGGATAGTGCTTCACGTCCCGAAAATGCTCCAAGAAACCGTTTGCGAATCTGTCAACCCCTCGTGGAGGTACTTCTATTTGTACTTTCATGTTTTTTTGACTTATAATAAACTATGACCAGGACCTTCTTGTGGCTCAATTCCCTTCAGTGTAAACTCGTTTCGATACTACTACACATCCCAAAAATGCTCCAACAAGCCATCTACGAATCCGTCATCCCTTCATGGAGGTACGTCAGTTTGTAATTTTCATGTTTTTGCACTTATGGTGAACTCTGCCCATGACCTTCCTATGGCTCAATTTCTTTCAATGTGGACTCATTTGGACACTACTTCACATCTCAAAAATGCTCCAACAAACCACTTATGAATCTGTTGACCCTTTGTGGAGGTACATCTGTTTGTAATTTCGTGTTTTTTGAACTTATGCTAAACTCTGCCCAAGACCTTCCTGTGGCTCAATTCCCTTCAGTGTAGACTCATTTTGATACTACTACATGTGTGCAAGTAGTAGAGTAGCAGTGAGTACCCTTCACACCTTTAACACCAGTCTGTTCGATGGCAGCACCCCCTACATATTCCCCTTGGTTATTTTTAGTTGGTATATGCATTCCTGGTCATATCCTCAGGTTTGCCCAGTATTATGCCTTGGACAATATACAGCTCTTTTACTACTTCAGGATTGAGGAGACGTTTTCTGAATTGTTGTTTAACAATTTATTGTATTACATTGTATTAATCTGCCTACCCCGCAAAGCACCATGAATTGATTACATTGTATTCTGCCTTCTGTAAACCAGTCACTCAATCCTTAGGATAGTTCAATGTGCAGGCGTATATGACAGTGCTGTCCATGAGGCGAAGAAGCCCTGTGATAAAATGTTAAAAACAACAGTGTTGATCCACTTGCATTTGCTTACCATGTTGAGCCATTGTGGTGTCTTCCCATGCAGCTTTGTATTTTAATGCTGCAGGATCATGTCTACCATGTACATGAGAATGCATTTGATGTTGATGGTGTTATGCACCAGGGGATGGGTGGCAACTTTGTATAGGTAGTGGAAGCATTCATTCCAGTGTTCATTGTACATAGTGTTTGAAAGTTAGGTTAGTTAACCGGAAAATAACCGGAAAATAACCAGACCTAACCGCAACACTAACCTAACCGCAGTTAGGGTTAGTTGATTTCGAAAATGGAATAACCGGTTATTTTGCGGTTAACTAACCATTAAATAACCGGTTATAACCAGCCCTATTATACACCTTCAAAACGCACTTGAGAATGTCGAAAACACTTAAAATTTGACTAAGTTACGGTCAAATCTCTAAAATATCACTCAAATGTGTAGACTTCCAAGGACTTGTGGGTGTGGGCCAGTGCTTTGCATGGCATGTATGAGTCCTTCCTGTGAATTCTAAATTTAACCCTGAGCATACCCACTTCAATATCATGGCAGCCATGGGCACTATTCTTATTTTTCAGCCTTTTTTTTTGTTGAATTTTCTAGCAATTCTTTCTGATCTTATGACTATTTTTCTGTTTATGGTAAAAATTTCCCACAGTCTTATTTGCATATATCTGAGAAAAGAAGATAGCTAGTTACATTCTGTGATCTGTAACAACATACTCTATATACTTGTGGCTAATTTCCTTTTTTGGTCAAAATTCCCATGGTACCAGAAGCACAGCCCCTCAGTTAGCTCTATAAACAACAATTGTAGCCTCTTTGCTTAGCTTTACAAATATATATAAATGATGTCATACAAACCATTCCTCATTGAGAAAAATACAAAATACTGAAAAAATTGGACATTTTTTGAAAATAGACATATATTATAACCAAGATTTCAATAAGAAAGAATGCTAGTCACATGATATAATCACATTTTATAATGTAATACATTTTCTATATTTGTATATAGACCCTGAACCTAAACACAGCCCCTTTAACATTGTAATAACAAAGAATATTGTTGTTATTCTTTGCTTATTTTTTTCTAAATTTCTAGCCATTTTTACTTTGTTCTATATTTAGATGTAGACCCTGAACCCTGAACACAGCCTCTTCAACATCATGGCAACAGAGAAGGTCACTCTTAATTTTTGGGTATTTTTTTCTGATTTTCTGGCAACTTTTAGCTGGTTTCTATATTTAGATATTGACCCTGAACCCTGAACACAGCCTCCCCAACTTACTAAGCAATATTCAAATTTTTCAGATATTTTTTGCTGATTTTGTTGCTATTTTCCCTGATTTTATAGCTGCTTTTCTGTTTAAGGGAAAAGGTTCCTGCGGTGATGAAAGGTAAATGAATGAATGAATCAATGAAAAATTTGCCCAAGTCCTCAGCTGATAAAGAATGAGTCTTACTCATAAACTCATAAGGACTCATAATAATTGCATAAATATGTCAATTCTTCACCGATTTTAGCGTTCTTGGGCTCGTTTTAAAGCTAGAATATGCAGAAATAATATCTATCAAGATACATATGAGCATATTTGCCTTGTTATAACCGATTCTTTGTTTTTCGGTCCTAACCGGTTAGTAACTGCAAATAACCGACCATAACTGGTTAGTTGCGGTCCGGTTAGGTTATTTTAGGTTTTGGGACAAAGGCTAACCGGTCTCGGTCTCGGTTAGAGCCCCTGGGCACCCAATAACCGGACCTAACCGGACTTTCGAACACTAATTGTAGACGAGACATCTGCCACCAACCACAAATCACTACTTGACTTCTGGTCCATTGGTCTGAATCTTATCCACAAGATATGTTGGAGGTGTTTCAAGGGTCCCAGGTGCATTTTCTCAAATGAAAATTTATCTAACAATTGCCAGAAAATAGCACAAAAATTAGAGAAAATTGGAATATGGTGCTCATTGTCAGCAATGATGTTATGAGTCCTCTGAGTTTACAAAAACACTAGTTTATTACCCTCTTTTCTCAAGGATTTTTTTACTACCTCTAACACTATTCTCCCATAAAAATTGATGGTTTGATGATGTAGAATAATGAACATTTCCTAAAAGGAAATATAGCAATAAAAATAGAAGACAAATCAGAAACAAATGGGGGGCAATGTGCACTATTGATGACAATGTTACATAGCATATTTTCAACTGAGGTTATTTGCACTTTTTCAGTTAAAAATAGCAATAAGAAATTGAGGGAAAGTTACTGCTTGTGCAATATTGGGGAGCATGGTCAGAGTCCAGGAGAACTTTCCATATGTAGTAATCTACTTGAAATTAACTATAAAAGACTGGAAAAATTTAGAGAAAAATGGAGGATAATACTGATTGTTGCTTTCAATGTATATGTAGGTACTCTCTGTAGGTAAATGGAAATATACACTTTATCCAATGTAAAATAGCAATACTATATATATATATAGTTAATGGGTATAAATCTGATGGGCTTTCAGGAGGTGGTCACATGACTAGTTTCCTAAATAATCAAAAATGTGAATGTTGTGGTGCTGCATTGTAGCTTCCTGAATATAAAAAGGACTTGTATCTGCCATGCTTGCAATGGCCCTCTTGCACAAGTTACTATTCTACAAAACATACTTAGCAGAGAAATAAAAATCTGTGTGAATTGCCTTTGAGGATTATTTGAGTTGGGCAAAATATCTTGAGAGATGGGAGGGGCAGACACAATCCTCTGCAACACACCCTTCGGAGCGAGCCTTGCGGATGAGCTGGCACTTGGCTGACACAGCTGCGAGGGTGTCGTTGATGGCTCAGTGGACGCTCCATCAGTATAGGATCCTGCCATATGTTGTTTGATCATTCAGTCGGCATGCATCACCCTATAATATGTTCAAAGGAGAGAATAATCATAACACAGCATGGGCATACCTGACTTTAGTAACGAAGATGTCCGTGATCGTGCTGATCGGCCACTGCTCGTTGCTGCAGAGCTCTCGAAGTTCAGGAGAGCTCATAAAGAGCCCGGACTTATTTCGCGCAGTGCGATTCTTGCCGCTGTAGACAAGTATGCCAGCGACGTCGAAGGAATGATCACGCCGTTTGATGGTCGTGATCTAAGTGAGAATTAGTGGAGCGCGTTGAACTGGCATGGTCACGTACCATGTCTGTAATTGTTTTGAGGTGCTCCGCAAAGCGCAAAGATGCATCGTGAATACTGGTACCCTCATCAGCAATTTGCTCCTTAACAAATTTGAATGCTTCCGCCATTCGCTCATCCTTCTCCTCACTCGTGTCTGCACCTTCCATGAGCTTCCTATACTCCTCATTGAGGTTTTTGTTCCACGTCTGCAAGCCCTCTATAGTGATTTCATCATTTTCATCAGCGGCAATAGTAAGTTTCTGAACTGAGATACATACCATGATCATCGTCGTCAGGCTTGGACCTGCTAGCAAAAGTCTTGAATACATTGTAATGATTGGGGGCCCTCTTCTCTTTCTGTAATAAATTAGCCTTTTCCATTACAAAATCAGGAGAACAGCTATTGAGGTGGCCGAGACGAGCTGTGTATTGCCATACAATCCTGCCGAACAATCGATACAGCGCACTCTCCATGAGAGAAGGCTTCTGAGATGAAACAGTGTCGACCTTGGGAATTAGCTCCTCTGGCATCAAGTTGAGGTTGAAACTTCTCAACACTGCAGAGGCATTGAGTTCGGAGGGCGACAGGGAAGCCTTCAGTGCATCCCAAGAGATACCGGCTGGTGGTGAAATGGTTGGATTCGGTGAAGTTTTTTTGTTGTCAGAGCTGGTCCTCTTACTTTGAGCTGCCGCGAGACCTTTGGAACGTCCAGATGCCTTCGAATTCATCTCTTCCTGCAATTCGCGCTGCATCTCGCGATCTTCTTCTTCATCCTCCTCCTCCGTGTCCGTTGCAGGCTTTCCCCTCGACCTGAGCCGAGCCCTCTCTGTCTCCTTGTCGCGCTGAGTTTCTTCATAGTCTGAGCCACTCAAGTCACTTTCTATCATAGGATCGGGGGCTTCCCAGTCCTCACCTCCCCTGCGCTTAGCCCTTTGAGTGGCACTGGCGAGCTCAGCATGGCAAGTTGTTTCAGCCTCTGCAATCTCCCAGTTTAGGGCATCAATATAATCTTGGGGGTCGTGAGGGGCAGTGTACCCTTCGGGAATGGATACATATTTCTCTTTCTCCTCATCCCATATTTCAGTGAGTCTGTCGGCAGCGTTCTGGATACCCTCTCGAGGGTTTTGGCCTTGGTAACGAATAAAGCCCTCCTCCCCATCAGCAAGATAGCACATTGTTTGGCGGCGCTTGTGAGGTTTGGCGCGTTTGAGCTGCTTGCCAAACACGAAAAAATCTGCCAACCCTCCCAAGTTCAATCCCAACCCAGGCCAAATTTTGACGACAACCCCAATTCAGCCAAAACCTCAAATCAAGGTAAATTTCTACAAGCTAAAGGAGTTATTACAATGGTAGTGTTAGAAGCAAATCTTGTGAGAATGATGATCTGCATATTTGTTAACGTAGTAAGATGCGTGGATAAGCTCGTACTAGAAAGTATGGATTAGTGACAGCAAAGTAGTAGAGATTGAAAAAAAACTTACTTCGGGTTCTTGCCAGTGCAACATTCCCAGTCACATACTCGTCGATGATGCCAGTGTCCTCGTCATCGTCGCCGAGGGGTATGATAGGTTTTGGAGGTGGCAAATGGGAAGGGGGAAGCATCCGACGCTCGACGAAATCCGTGCGTGCTCGAAGGAGCTTGTCCAGCCGCTGATTGGTAAGCAGCATCTGCCCCAATCCTTCGTAGCGGTTTGAACGACGCCAAGGCCGTTTGACAGCGGTAATGTGGTGGGATTCAGTGATTGATGAGCATAGCCCGCCAGGAGCACCAAACTCCTGGATTTGGTGGATGAGGTGGACAAGAGAGTGCTGTTGGGGGAGGTTGAAGCCAGTGGGTTGAACACCGCATGTACGGAAAATTTCACGGTGCGTGTGAAACCTCTCAATGGCCGTTTGGAGTGCGGCGAGTGATTCTTGAGTGATGTCAGCTCGACGGGCAATGTAGCAGGCATCCAAAAATGCGCTGATACACTGCACCATTTCGGGGGGTACATATCCCGAGATGGCTGGAAGGTAAACCTATTTTTGTTTTAAGTAATGGTGCGATACCTAACGAAAAAGATTTTACCTTCATGAGAGCCTTTGAGTCATCACCCGTCCACTGCTTGAACCGGCGACCATGCGGAAAGCGGCGAAGTCCTGAAAGTAATGGTGCTGCTGCAATACTTGACAGGTTTCAGAGCAATCTTGACAGTGGGAAGGAAGAAGGTACCAACCGGCGGTCAATGTCATCCAAAATCTCATTAGCCCGAGCTTTGCCGTGTTCGAGGTAGAGGTAATCGCCGACCCATTGGACTAAATGGTCTTTGAACGTACCCTTGATCAATTGATGAAGTAGATCTGCTGACAGCATTTCGTGGATGTCGGCACGTGGAAAGTGAAAGGTAAACGGCTGTAGAGTGATAAGAATGGATGTTTGTTTGTTGAAGACAAGAGAAACTCACAGTAATGTCATCATCAATACCATACTCATCCCATAATCTTTTCAAATCGAGCTCATTGACGAGCCCTTCCGTGAATCGTCGTGAGCGGCTATCCGCCAACCCATCTAAGTTTGTTGGAAGAGCCGTGCATCTGTTTAGGGATTTAATTAAAGCTCCAAGTTTCTATAAAATGAACGCACTTTGGACACCAATTTTGAACAATTCCGGCAAGGTAAACCTGCTCAGGGTAATCGGCGATGTAGGCGGCAAGGTCATAGATCACATGCTGAAAATGGCCATCAGGGCAGCGGCGGACCACAGGTTTGATCATCCCTGGACGGAATGTCTTCAGGATGGCTGCGATCGAGTCATGGTACAACTGCCGCTTGAACTTGCGAAAGGCGGGGTCGTTATCATACTTTCGGTCACCTGGCAATGTCATTAGTTACGAAAGATTGGCAGTCATATTTTACAAACCTTTGGGGATCGCTAAGAAACCAGCAGGCGCGACGGCGTTACGGTGTGCGCGACAAACTGTGTTGAAGAGGTTGCCACCAGAGATGTAAAATGGGTGGTACTCGACGTGGCCAGTTGCGACAGAGACGGTTGTCTTGTCACTGCCTGCAATGATAGGACAGTACAACGCTCCTTCTGTAGTGGGATCCTCTTCATAGATTTTATCCTAAAAATGAGACAAACTTCAATAAAAGTTTCGGAAGTAAATTATCTGGACTCACACTATGATGCCAAGCATAATTGCCTGACATGAAGTCACTCCAACGCCGCTTGCCAGATTTGTCAAGACCAATATAAGGTGCGTAATCGAAGTGGCCATCAAACTCCGGGTTGTCGAGCATCTGGGTCATGATGACCTCAGGATCCTGAAACCAGACCTCGTACTCCGCTGACTTCCAAGAGGGATCACTCGGCTGTACATCCCCGGTATAGCTCACAGTAAAACATTTCCAGGGTGCATCACCAAGCTGGATTGCGTCAATGCTGGAGTACATATGCTCGTATGAGGTGAAGGGACCCAATTGATCAGATTTCATCTTATCTAAAGCCCATAACTCTAGAAGTTCATCAATGTTTCCTGCCGACATCTCAACACGGCAGTACAAGAAATCTGCGGTCCGAAACTGAATTTCACTCTCGAACGGCGACCAATCTGTCGGCTGTGCAGCTGTCCTGGGAAGAGGTAGGGTACCAGGAGGAAGTGGATTGCCTTCGGAATCACAGGGGACACCTATGTGGAGTGAGAACCATGCAAACGAAAGAAAATGTCATGACTTACCAGTGAGGTGCGGATGAAAATTTTGTGATGGCCTCGGTGGAGGGGCTTGTTGCGGCTCAGGTGAGGGAGGTTGGGACCAGGAAGGTTGTACACTCTCGGCACCTGGTGAGACGTGTCCAAGGCCATCCAAATTGTGAAAATCTTCGCCCACAGAAGGGACATCAGAATTAACCCAATTAGAGTTTCAGTGTACAGTGCGGAGGTGGTAGGTGAGGCCCCGTTGGCGTTTGAAGCACTGTGGGCAACCAGCATGAGAGCAGCGAATGCGAAGCATCGTCGGTCGATAATGAGGGGAGAAGGGCTGAAATGAAAAAAACTCCAAGTTCTGAAAAAACTCTAAGTTAGTGGGGCCGGCCCTTCATCCGGTTAGGGGAAATTTTTTTACCTGGTGGACACGCGGCCATCGGGTAGCGAAAGACCCGATTGTTTTCTTCGGTTAGCGAAAGACCCGATTATTTTCTTTCCAACCTTCACCACCCTCCCCTCTGTCGCATTCAACACATTCCAATATGTCGGCGAGTCGTCCTAAGCGCGCAAATGCTAATCAGCACCCTGCACAGATCCTTCTCAATAGCACAACTAAACGACGCACCTCTGCTCAAGTCAAGGCTGATAACGAGGCAGCAGCTGCCGTTGTTGCAACTACTGCCTCAGTCGCAGCGACTAAGGAAGCCGTGACAAAGGCTCGGATTGCCCAGCTCGAGGACAGCATCCGTGCTGCAGACCGAGCAAGTGCTGGTCAAGCTATGCGTCCTGACCTTCATAAGTCATCAACATCTACCAACCGTGTATGTAAATACCAAAAAGCCGTGCTTACCTGATACTAACTTCAGTTTATATTTGCTAGGTGACGACAGCACCAGTTGGGGCCATGGCACCTGCGCTAGTGGACGACTCAGCAGGGATTCCAGTCATCCACCAGAAAGGACTTACTTACCGTGTTACACGTCCACCCTCAAGCGCGTCGATGAGATCCGAAGAACCAGTTGAGAACATGGCCATTGATGTTGATGCAGATGGAGGCGTCTCAGATGGCATGACGGGCATCCCCCCTGAGTCGATGGTTGACAGCGAGAGCGATGGTTTGGGAGTTGGCGAGTGGGAAGACAAAGGAGAAGACGATGAAGACTTCGTGATGCAACAGAACCAAAGTGATGACGAAGAAGCTGTACCAATTTCTGTAAAAGGCAAACAGGTCGCAAAGGGCAAAAAGAACAAGGTAACATACCAGATTGTTCAACATACCTTCTGACACACATCCTCTCCAGGCACCACCTCGTGGAACGTTTCGTCAAGATATTCAAGAACTCTGCCAGAATCCAGCCATCGCTGGCGCTGTTGTATCAACAAACAAACGCAAGGATGTTGTGACGGTTGACGAGGTGAGTGCACATTTTACTGTGGTGACATTGTGTTGATATGTGGGACCAAACTGCTAGTGCGAAGTGCGGAAAGAAAACAGATGGTGGGTTACTTCCTGGCTGGAAGAAGCAGGTAGGGTACCAGCCAGGCATGAAGAAACAAACCCTGCCTGCTCGAAACGTCGATAATGATCAAGACGACTGCGATAAGTTGGGTGAGTTCGATCAGGAGGAAACCCCGGAAGACCTGGCTGCTGTGCGAGCGTCGAAACCGTCAATGGTTAAGATTCGAGAGGGGCAAAAGGGGGTCGAACTGGTGAGTCAGCTGTGTTCTCCTTTTTTTCAACACTTTGATTTTATGAGTCCTTACGAGTTTACGAGTAAGACTCATTCTTTATCAACTGAGGACTTAGACAAATTTTTCATTGATTCATTGATTTACCTTTCATCACCGCGGGAACCTTTTCTCTTAAGGAGAGAAGCAGCCATAAAATCAGGAAAAATGGCAAATAAATTGGCCAAAAATGTGTAGAAAATCAGAATATTGCTTAGTAAGTTGGAGAGGCTGTGTTCAGGGTTCAGGGTCCATATCCAAATATAGAAAGCTGTCTGAAAAATGGAAACAGATAGGTTGAGAAGCAGTGCAAAATAAGTGAAAAATAAGCATGGTATTCACCATTGCCATGATCATGAATGGGCTGTGTTCAGGGTTCAGGGTCCATCTCTAAAAATAGAACAAAGCCAGATAGATTGTATAACATGATTACAAAATATGCCAAAAAAGGGAAGAAAAATCGGAATGATATTTGCTGTTGTCGGGGCTGTGTTCAGGGTCCATATCTAAATATAGACAGAAAAAAAAACAACTCAGAGAAAACAGCTGGAAAGTGAAGAAACTTGTACACAATAATTTAGCTATATTTGGGCAGATTCCCATATTTGGAAGTGTATCCTGGACCCTGAATACAGCCTCTCCAATAGTATAGCAACATTAAATATCAGAAATGTGATTATATCATCTGACTAGCCTTCTTTCTTATGCAGATATTGGTCAAAATACATGACTATTTTCAAAAAGTGTCCAATTTTTTCAGTATTTTGTGTTTTTCTCAATAAGGAATGATCTGTGTGACATTATTTATATATATTTGTAAAGCTAAGCTAAGGGGCTACAATTCTTGTTAATAAAGCTAAGTGAGAGGCTGTGTTTCTGGTACCGTGGGAAAATTGACCTGAAAAGGAAATTAGGGACAGTTTTATAGAGCATGCTGTTATATTTCTCAATGTGGTCACAAAATGTGACTAGCTATTTTCTTTCCCGAGATATATGCAAAGACACCTATTTATTCATGTTTTTATATATTTTTCTCAATAAGAAATCATCCTGGTCATATGATTTCAGTACATTTAGAAATGTATGACATGGGGCTATAATTCATGTACTGTGGGAAAAAGTTCCCAAATAAGGAATGTGGACATGCCCTAAACTTCCTGGGTACTTCAAAGCTTCTGGTAAATAATAGTAAACTTTCCCTTTTGAACTTGAACCACCATCATCTTGCTTTGCTGGCACCTTGTTCACTCCATTCTGAGTCAACCACTCATGCTACTGCTACAATTCTTTTTGCTATGGCTTCTAGGCCTTCTCTGCTACACTTCTATGCCCTCTGTATTCTCTTCCAACACCTGGAACATGCTCAGATCTGGAAATACTGGTGTTAGCTCTGAACTTGGTCATTTTTGGCCATGTAAGCCTATTTCTATATTTCTGTAGGTACTCTGCTAATCTTTCTATATTCTAGATCAACAAACTCTCTGTTCTCTGGCTATTCTGAGCCCAGAAGGTATGTAACTTGCCCTTTTTAGTGCATATTCTCAAATTTAATATATTTAACCCAGAAAACACATCATTGGCTTTCTGCCAGTTAAATCCTATGGATTTCTATGCCACCTCTTCCTTAAACTATGGTAAGACCTTAGCTTGATCATATGTAACTCAGGACTGAGCAATCTTCTAGATCTTTTACACTGGGATCAAGGAAGTTTTGGCAACTACCTTGATTCCAGTGAGGTTGATTACAACCCTAGCCCTTGGGCACCCTCTATAGTGATTGATCTCAATCCGAGCCCTTTGGCAGCCAACCATTTGGTTGAGCCTCTTCCATTCAACATGGTTGAGAGAAAAATACATAAATTATATACTCATCCATTTGTGGTTGAGAGGCAAGGCCTTTTGGCACTCTATACTCTTCCATTTATGGTTGAGAGGCATGGCCTTTTGGCATTCAATACTCTTCCATTTATGGTTGAGAGGCACAATAAATATGCTCTTCCATTTATGGTTGAGAGAAAAAGGCACAATAAATATGCTCTTCCATTTATGGTTGAGGGAACAGACATAGCTTACCCAAATATGAGATATGATGATATATATAGGCATACATCAGGAGTATCACCCTTACACTGGAATGCACAAAGCTCATGGTCAGAAACTTTGATTTTGAAAAATGATGGCTTTTCTACTTGTGTTGAACTTAGCCCTGAGCTATGTAAAAGTGACTACACATTTTCTGAATATTTAGATTTAAAACTTCATAAGTTGTGGTTGCATCTAAGATCTTCTCCACTCTTGGAATTATATGTTAGAGCTTTTTTGACTCTTCTCAGATTGTTTACCATCATTTCTCAAAGAGATCTGGTTGCAGTAAAATGCCAGGAACTTGATTTGAAATTGAAAAGAAATATATTGAGATCTCATGACTTTGCTACTCTTATGAAAAGAATTGGTGGATGCTCTACTATTTTAAACTTTGCAAATTACATTGTGTATTTGATAATATTCCACCATGTCTCAGCTTTGCAGTATTTCAAGTTCTCAACAAAAATCACAAAAAATTTGTGTATCATGATATTTGCTTTATCTGTAGTATTCTTTTTGGAGCTGGAGCTTCCAGGGTTTAAACCAACACAAAGTTTCAATCTACATAATGACTTGGTAACTAAAAGTGAAATACTGGGGGGTGGCCCTGCAGGTATATTCTCAGCTGAGAAGCTTTCTTCATTTGCTATAAATGAGGTGAATACAGGAGGGATGTATAAATATTCAGACTATGTACCTGAATCTGAAGTCCATACATTGAAGAGTATCAAAAGTCCAACTTTACTTTGTAAGATGCCCCTTACAGAGCTCATTTCCCACTTGAGCATTCCTAACTTAAAATTTATTGCTCAATGCCATAACATCAAACTTCATTCCAAGTCAAAAAGCTTAGAAATTCAGAGCATTATTGAAAGTCACAAGTGTAAATCATGTAAAGAATATGTAGAAACATTTGAATTTATAGATGAGAAAGACAAGACAGAAAAAAAGAAAGCTATTAATTTAAATAAGTCAAAAAAATACCAAGAAAAAAGTCCAGAGAAATATAAGGCCAGCCACTTGGAGGCAGTTAAAAAACACCAAGAGAAAAGCCCAGAGAAATATAAGGCCAGCAACTTGGATGCAGTTAAAAAATACCAGGAAAAAAGCCCAGAGAAATACAAGGCCAGCCACTTGGAGGCAGTCAAAAAACACCAAGAAAAAAATGAAGAAAAATGTAAAGTTTTAAACTTGGAAGCAGTAAAGAAATATCAAAATAAAAAGCTAAACCCAGAATTTCCTCCTTCAGCTCCTTCCCAAAAATACTGCATCAAATATTACAGATTTCTGTGAGGAATAGATCCAATCATTGGAGATTTTGAAGTTCAATTTGTGGTCAATTAACACCAAGTTCAACTCTCAAGAAGCTCTCAGAAATGAACTTGAACTTGGATATTCTGATTCAAGATGGTGTTACCCAAGTTGAAAGACAAAAGTTCAAAGGATCCCCTCTCTGATATTGAAGGCCCAGTTCTGGACAGTGATTTGGACTCTATATGTCAGACTTGCTATAAAGCTGTATCAAAAGGCAAGATGCCACTGCTAGCCTTAGCAAATGGCAAATGGATAGGAAAAGTTCCACCTCAATTATTAGACTTGTCATTTGCTGAACAACTTTTGGTGGCTAGAGTTCGTCATAATAGATGCCTAGTCAGAGTATCCTCAGGAATGCATAAAATGAGAGCCAATGCTATCTCTTTTTCTAATCCTACACCTAAGATTTATGATATATTGCCTCCTCCAATAGAGGAAATGGATGAAGTTTTAGCTTTCATTTATACTGGTCCTTGCAAACCTACAAAATCTGACTTTGAGAGAACTCCTCTTCTTGTAAGACATAAAAAGGTGGCTGCAGCTCTAGAGTGGCTTAAACTAAACCACTGTGACTATTTTGATCTGGAAATATCCTATAAAAATCTTAGAGAATATCCTGAGGATAGTCCACCAGTTGTAGTAGATTATAGAGAGTCATCTTCAAACAAAGATCCAGAGTCTACAGCTATTAATGATATAGAAGAGGAGACTGGAACTGAAACTGGCCAGTGTCCATTTGTAGTTCATGGATTGACTGGTGAAGAATATTCAACAAAAAGCTTAAAAGCACTCAAAGCCATTGCCCTTCAACATTTGACTTCAAATAAAAAGATATTAGCTGTGGGCCATGCACAAGAACCAGAGTCATTATACAATAATCCTTAGTTATTTCCTCAGATGTTTCCATGGTTTTTTCCATATGGCCTTGGAGGAATTGGAAACACTTTCCAGAAGGGGCGTCTGTCTGAAATCAAACACAAAAGGCATCTTCTTATGTACCATGACAAGCGCTTTCAAAAGGATTCTCACTTTGCATTAATTGCTTTTAATCATGAGCAAATCAAACAAAGTACATCTTCAGGATACCTGCTTGCTGAGACTCCAAAATTTGACAATATTTCAAAAAGACTTATGGATGTTGATATTGAAGTTCTAAGTGACTTGATCCAAAGAATGGAAGATGGAGAGAGAGTAAAGCCTGAAACTGATGAAGAGTCCTTGTGTTTTCAGCTTATTAAAGACTTGGATCATGTTTCAGGAAGAGTTCAAGGCTCAACTACTACCAAAAAATATATGCGCAATGAAATCTGGTCTCTCATCTCATTCATTGGAGCTCCATCTTGGTTCATCACATTCTCTCCAGCTGATAACATGCACCCTATATCATTATACTTTGCTGATACTAAGGAAAAGTTTAGTCCATTGTTAAGAGAATATGATGAAAGATACAAATTAATTGCAAATAATCCTGTAGCTGGTGCTAGATTTTTCCACTTCATAACTGAGATGTTCATCAAGCATGTTCTTGGTGTG